ACAATGCATAACCACTAAGCCACCAGGGCTCCTCTCAAAATCCCAGTGGAAGCTAAACCAGGAAAGTCAAGTCTAAACACTCTTCAGGTACAAGGAAGGATAATGGCATGAGTAGTTAAAATTCTAAAATTTACACAGGATCCTTTTAAGCCTTCTCCTTCACCACACTCCTCGTATTGCAACTTGCAAACTGAATTGATAGGTTTTAATCTTGATTTATCAACTTTTCACTGATAATAGTAACAAGGCAAAAAATTCTAAATGGACTAATGGACAGTTCAAAACTGCACATAAAATTCATTTTTCCATTTCTTTATTAAGCACAAACAGAAAAGCTCAGAAAAACAGATAAGCTTAGGCCCTGTGCTCTTTGGTAAACAGAGAAGCCCCAAGAAGCCTTGATAACACTGAATGATTGATTACATATCCTTAGTCACCATCCTCATTTTCTTTCAGACCAATTAAAAAAGATATTGTTTACAGAAATCCAAACTATAATCATATCCAATAAAGTAATTAATACCCCACTTACTAAATCTAGTCATGTAATAGCAAAAATATGAGATCTAACTAGAGACCAAGCAGTCTTCTACACACTCGAAATAGAACAGGTATCAACTGTCTTTACTCTCATGAAGTCCCCAGTTGTAGAAATGCTTTCTAGGTGCCAAGGAATAAGGAAGTGACTCATATGAAACCTTGAAAACCAAATAAATATGTGAAAAATGATGAGAAAGCATTTCTCAGTAAACTGGATCTCTGAGTGGACAAGATCCTTAACTGTATTTTGCTAAGAATGCAAAGCACTGGCATTTGAAACGGGCGACACAAAGAGAGAAAGATGGCTAAGCTCTACTCCCAGGACAAGGTTGAGAGGGGGAGGAAGGCAGCTCAACCCCCAAGCCTTATGATAATTTTCCTCAAATGATACTCAGTCCCAGAGTGGCAGTTTATAAAGCTAAAGGAGTTGGAGAATTCCTTTTGAGATTCTCTCATTGCTGTAGAACTATGATTATTTCCTAAGCTGTACAAGTCACAGAACAATTTCCTACCCAATCAGGCCAGCCAGTCAGCTGCCCACAATTATGGTAGGCATCCCACCAAGGCCATAGTCTAAACAGGACTTCCAACTGGGTTCATTACGGTTTGACTCCCTGCAGAGAAGTTGCATTTCCACCCCAGAGGGACTGAATCAAAATCTATGCTTCTCAAGATACCCAGGTCATTCTGATACATACTTAACCATCACTTGGGAATCTCTAAAAATCACACAGAGAGCTTGTTAAACTAGATTCTGATTCAGTATAGTTGGGATAGACATGCAAATTCTCCAGAGGAAGCCAAAATATAAAGAAACTGTGTGAAGCCTGTGATTCTAAATCAAGAGAGAGAACTCTCACCAAAACAGAAAAGCCAAACTCACAGCCATAGAATCAATTTCGATTCATACAGACCCTATAGGACAGAGTTGAACTGCCCCTGCCAGGTTTTGTAGACTGGAAATGATTTTGAACCACTCACTTTACGGTTAGCAGCTCAACTCTATCTAGCCCACTACCCCACCAAATAGGTTAATCACCTCATGAAACAAGCACTTGCGCATTCCTGCACATTCAGATGTGCACGTAAATGTATGAATGGGAGTATTCAGGTTGGTAGGTACTTATCTCACCAGTTGACAAAGGAGTAGAGACCCCTCACCTAGTCAGAGTTCAAAACATATCTCCCAGTTATCACTGGAAGAATCACACTTGACCACTTACCAAGAGGGTGTTTATCCACTGAGTGGAGCGCACAGAAGCAGAATTATTTATGCTCCATACCAAAAACAAACAAATAAATGTAATAGTCCAGTCAATTCTAACTTCCAGCAATAAGGGATAGAGTAGGGCTGCTTCTGTATGGTTTGTAAAGCTAAAAATCTTTACAGAACAGACTGCCACATTTCTCCTGGGAAGAGGCTACTAGGTTCAAACCATCAATGTTTTGATTGGCTATGGTTCATTTAACTACTGTCCCATGACTACTACACACTATCTTGGGGATGATTTCAAAACAAAACCAAAAATGTACAGAGAACTCTTGCTATGTCTTTCAGACCAGGAAGTCAAGCTTTTCTTCTTTCTGCAGCAAACCTGGGTGAGTTTGCACTTCAAACTTTTCAGTTAGTAGCTGAGTGCTTAAACACTGGCATCAATAAGAGGCATACCTGTACATAGTCTAACCTTCCTACATAAAAACTGCCTCCTCCTTACCTAACGACAAGTCTTGCTATTTCAGAGGGTTGATTCTTTTTATACCCAGCACAAAAAAATCTGCCACAGCTAATGCATACTGTTAGGATTCAGAAGTGTTTCCCTTTGGTGAGAGGATGATAGTATGAAGGTGTGACAAGAAGGGTCCCGGTGTTCTGGTAATGCTCTTTTATTGATCCAGTACTGCCTGCCCCACCATTTATCATCTGAACTTAGAGCAGAGCTCCTACAGTGTAAGCACCAGGAAGGAAGGGGACTTTTGACCTATGATGGGATATAGGGGCCTACATATAGGCACCTCTGGTCATATGAGATCATTGGCTCCCAGCTTCTTGTAATGGGGAATCCCTCCAATGCTTGCTTATGCACAATCGGTGGTAGCTGTGTAACCTCTGCAGGAGCTCTGAGAGCATAGTGGGTCACCCATGGCACTGCTAACACAAGGTCAACAGTTCAAACCACCAGCTGGTCCACAGGAGAAAGATGAGAATGTCTACTGCTGTAGAGATTCACAGACTCAAAACACCACAGTGGCAGCGCTACTCTGGCCTATAGGATCCCTCTGTGTCAGAACCGATTCAATAGCAGTGATTTGGGAATGTGATGTAACCTCTAAGGAGCCCTAGGCATAGCAGGTTACTCACTCAGGGAGCTGCTGAGCAAACAGTCAGAGGTTGGAACCTATTCGCTGCTCTAAGGGACAAAATGAAGCTATTCCAAGAGGAAGTGCTACTGTGTCTTACAGGGTCTCTATGAGTCTATGGTTATATAACCTCTGCAAGCTTTATCTTCTTCATTTATAAAACAGGCACACCAATAGCCCCATCTCACACTGCAGTTGGGAGAATTAGATGACATATAACACGCAAAAAGTAAGCAACACTGTGCCTTGTACATAGCACATGATGAGTGGATTGTAGCTATTTTCACAGTAGTCAAAGTGGTAGAAAAACTTTTCTTCTAAAAGATGATTTTACAATACTACTTGCCAAATACAGAATTTTCAGAGACTTAAAAATCTGCCAAAAGGAAAAATTATCTTTAAAGCAACCTAAGAAAAATGTGCATGAAAGGCTTTTAATGTGGCCTGGCTTCTTGCCAGATGACTCTCAGCTTTTCAGAACAATTATTATAAATAGCTGCAAGAAAAAGGGCTTGGGTTTTGGATTTACCTGTTACTTACTCTATGTGAGGCTCAGTAAATATCTTCACCCATGAAATTGGAAGAATCATATCCACATCTTAAGGTAACAGTGAGGCTTAGATGTTAATTGCAAAAGGCCTAAAGACAGTACCTTGTACAGTAACTAATTATTTAAAAGCTGATAGAATAGGCGAGCTCATCAGAAGTTTTAGCTAAAGCAAGAAAAACTGTAAGGAAAATTGCTGTACTTCCACTTTCCCTTTGTAGCATTGCTACACCTTGCCTCCTGATCTGATTAGATGTGCTCCTCCTAGTGCCACACTGTTTGACCCCATTTCATTCATCTCCCTATCTAGTCCCTATACCACCTGCTGAGAAGGCAAGATCCAGTTCATTGATTGGAATCATCAATAGGTTTTGCAGGCCACTCCTTTAATTTACCGTAAATTTGCCCTCAGATTCAAAGGCTTGGCACCCGGTGGCTTAGTGATTAAGCATTGGGCTACTAACCACAAAGTCAGGAGCTCTAAACCACCAGCTGCTCCTCAAGAGCAAGTGGAGGCTTTCTACTCTTGTAGTTAAGTGTTGAGTTGCTAACCAAAAGGTCAGCAGTTCAAAACCATCTCTCTTCAAGAAAAAGATGGGAGCTTTCTACTCCCACAGAGTCACGTCTTGAAAACCCACAGGCTCAGTTCTACCCTGTCCTACAGGGCTGCGATGAGGAAGAACCCACTTGATGGCAGTGAGTTTGGTTTGGGTATGGAAAGGACTGAACCACCCACCACCCACTGCCTTCTATGACATTCTAACTCAAAGTGATCACACAGGGTGAAGTAGAACGGCTCCAGAGGGTTTCCAGGGCTGTAAGTCTGTACAGAGACAGGCTGCAGCATCTTTCTCTAACAGAGCAGCAGGGTGGTGAGTTTGCATCACTGGCCTTTGTGTTAGCAGCGGAATGCTTAACCCACAGTGCTACCAAGATCCTTGGCTTAAACTAGCCCTAAACAAAGTCTTCCATCACCTTCACTTGTTGCACATGCAGCTGTTAAATTAGTGACCAGGCTTCAAGTCTTTTCTTGCACTCAGATAAGAATAAATAAGAAACTGTTGGCACCTGCTCAGACATACCCCACCCCCGCCCCAATTACCTTAAAAACACACTTAGGAGTTGGTCTCATTCCTAACCCAGGGTCTGACCATAGGATGACTGGCCCATAAGGGCCCAAACAGAAAAACATTGCCAGAGAATCCACTCCAACTCGCAGGCACCTTATAGGGCAGGGTAGAGCTGCACTATAAGGCCTCCCAGGCTGCCAGTTTTACTGGACAACCGGATCTTTCCCAGCACCCTGGCTGGTGAGTTCCAATCACCGAACTTTGGGTCAGCAGCCAAGTGTTTCCACCACTGATGCTGGGGCCCTTAGGCTTGTCCGGCACCCATGAACCTCTTCTTCAGAAAGGGGAACAACCTTTAAATGTTCCTGGACAGCAAAATACGTTTTTAGATACCTAGGAGAAATGTCAGGAACATGACTTTGCACGACTTACTTCATTCCTTACTTTCCATTTAAGATAAGAGTGACATTTGAGAGCAAGCTTACCTAGTTGCACCATTTCTTCATTACCAGCCTGGAAAAGGACAGGGGGAAAGTAAGAAAAAGAAACAGTTACTGGGTTTCATCTTATCACTTCGCGAGTTTTCTATCTACCATTAAAGCTTTACAGGAGCTAGCTAGCTAATCAGCAGATGCTGGAGACAGGGACTGGTGCCTAAAGGCTGCCTCTAAGGTTATAGGAAGTGGCTGTCAGGAGACCCGAGCCAATTCAATCACAACTTGGGGGAAAGGGAGTCATGTACCCACTTGGGCATTCATGAAGCCAACAAAAATAAATGTGAAACTCAATACTCTTTTCTGGAAAACCCCAGTACTGGGTTAGGAGCAGAAAAGAAAAGTGTCTGAATGCATTCAGGAGAAGGGGTTGGGAGATAGTAATGCCTAAGAGGGGGCCTGATGCATGGGCTTTGAGATTAGAAATCAACCCTACGGTTCAACCGGGCCAGGCAGAGAAGCTGCTCAGCTCCGAGAGACATCGGTTGCTCTTGGTCTCAGCGGCCCCGGACTGGTGTGATTGAGTGCAGGAGGCTCGCCCGCGCAGCCTCCTGAAGGATTCTTGGGAGAGCATCAGGCTTCACCTAGACCCTTCAAAGGGTGGGGGCAGGGCCCACCAGAAACGGAGCCGCACTGAACTTCGCTTTTAAAAGAGGAGGAGCTGGGCCGCGGGGGAGGGGAGAGGGGCGGCCAGCGGCTCCAGCTCCTGCCCGGGAGAAGCGCAGCGCAGGAAACCGTCCCAGGCCCCCTCCCCAACTGTCAAACCCCAGCCGGGCAGCGATCCTCCAGCAGACACGTGGCTGCTGGATTCCGGCCCCAGGACTTCCTGCACCCCAAAAGCCGTGAGTCAGTTTCAGCCGTCCGGAGGGAAAGCTCCGCGCTCCAGACTCCTCCGGCTGCAGCCCCCAGAGCCCAGCGACCCGACCCGGGACCCAGCGGCCAGGACTTCATTCAAGCGCCCAGACCGCCCCCGGCAAAGGGGGGGACCCAGACGGCCCGGTGAGGATGCGAACTGGCTGCCCTATGGTTGCAGTCATTCGTCCGGATCCCGCCAAGTGGCGAAGCCCTAGGTGTGACAAGCCTGCGTCCCAGAAGTGGAGTCCTCATCTCCGGTGCAATTCAGCCCCCGCACCCCCAGCCCCCCAAGCCCCGCGGGTCGCACCCAGCCCTCGAGTCACCGCTGGTGGCTGCAGAGGACAACAGGGAAGGGTGGGGAGGGGAGAGAGAAGAGTGGGGGAAAAGAGGGAGAAACTCTTTCGGGGAAAGGTTGGGTTTGCCTTTTGTATTGTTATTATTTTCCACTTACTTGTCCGTCAGCCGAAGTCCTAACCTCTACCAGCGCGGCTGCTAGCAACCAAAGTGACAGGAGAACCATCCCGAGCCGAGTTCACTTTCAACCACTGGGCAAAGCAAGTGCCCAGAGCAAGCCCCCGCCCCCCGCACACAAAAAAAAAATGTTTCTTTCAGGGGGGAAGAAGAACAAAAAGGAGAAAAACTGCTGAATAGTAAATAAGAAACCTTCTTCTGTGCTTTGCTTCAATGAAGATGAAATTTGAGCTCGGAGCCTGGCCCCGCTGCTCGCAGTTCTCCCCACTTCACCTTCTCACCCCGTCCTCGCCGGCGGGGCGCGCAGGAGCGAGAAGGTGCTGCGAGGCGGCCCGGGAGCAAGCGGGGCTTCCCACTGCCTCGGCCCGAGCGGCTGGTCCAGCACCCGCGGTGCCTGCGCGGAGCTCGGAAACGC